AGTGTCCAAGTAATCCAACCATCTCCAGTCACCATGTTATCTTTTCCTTGTTGTACAGTTTCTTCTCCCAGTGTCTCAGTAATCCAACCATCTCCAGTCACCATGTTATCTTTTTCATTTTTTTTATCTTTGGCATTTCCTTTTTCCAGCTTTCCGTCTTCAGGCCCTTTTTGTAGCTGCTGAAAATTTATTAGTCAACAACAATTTTGCTTTTAATTTGACCGTAAAGTGTAATTCTTAAACTGATGTATAGGTTAAAACCATGCCCTCTTAAAGTGATAGAACATGCAATGTTTCGCTCTTTAAGGTAGTTGGACTGGCTTAAGTGGGTGTCAGTTGAACAACATTTGTTCAAATTGCATTCAGTATATTCTAGAAGTGACTTGATAATAAAGATATTCATAAAATTTTCTTTCCAAATTGCATGTTAAAAGCATGAACTTTCACACCTAGGGTGTCAAAAAAGGCAGAAAACCCAAGGCTCTTTTCCAGTAATTCATTAATATCTCTCTCTAGAAAATGTTATAAGAAATATAAAACTTCATCTATGAAAATAAATTGTATATAGAAAAAAACCTAGGCAGCCCGAAGCAAAATATTTTTTGGCGAGGTGTAACTACCGTGACACGGTTTTCGGTCGTAACATTTTATCAAAATATGTCTTTGCTCCGGGCTGTCTAGTTTTTAATCTTTAAGGTCTATTTAAGCTTTGTTCCAAATTTAAGGATAGTATTATAAATACAAAATTAAAAGAGTTAACCGAGTAACGGGTGACGGAATGTGGTGCTTTAATGCGCTAAAGTCGCTATATTTCTGCAATTTTGGATTCAAACGAAAGAATTCGCCGCAATATTGTTTCTGACATCGAACTACGTCATGACTCACGATATCAAGTCGATTGAACCACGAAAACTATCGGTTTTGCATCGTAAACAGTCGTAAACATGTGCTTACATCCGAGATCAGTATGGCGTCCCAAACAAATGACGTCAACCATAGCAACGGCTGGACACATGCCCTGTACTAAGGCCCCGTCCACACGTATCCGGAAATTTTTGTATCCGCAAATTATTTTTTTGCGGGTACGAAAATGTTTGCGTCCACACGCAGCGTATTCGAATCGTTTTCACCGTCCACACGTATCCGTTTTCGTAAAATTTGCAGATACGGACACAAAAATTTGCGGACACTTGTGGACGCAACCCGTATCCGCAAAAAAAAATTTACGGGTACAAAAATTTACGGATACGTGTGGACGGGGCCTAAGAGTGAAACATGAGGCCATTTGAATGTTGATTTGTCACGGCGACTTTACAGACTAAACGGGGCCTAAACTACTATTCCAGTAGCAAAACATGCGTGATAGGTAAATTACGAGCCTTGTATCAACTATTCCAGTAGCAGTAAGGGATTGACAAAAAATTGAAGTTTTTTTTTTCCACCCTGAGCCAGTCCAAATACCTTAAAGAACTTAGTTTATCAGGAATCGTTTGCCTAGTTAGGGAGCAGCATTTGCATATGCTCTACTACTAATAAAAATAAATAAATAAATTGTCATCGCTAACCATCACCGCAAAGTATAGCGGTGGGGCAGCTCAACGGGGTTGAACTGAAAACATGTGAAGGCGCCTCTGGCAGCCGCTATACAGTCCATGTATAGCCAGGAGCACAGCTCTAACCAGTTTGAACTAGTAAGGGTTGATTTGAGAGGAGGGAGGAAAAACTCTACGAAGGAATCTTGTACCTGAATAGGTCTATTGTTAGAGTCCATATTATGGTTGCCATTAGCAGCAGTAAGGGGGACTCGCGATCGATGCCGTATATTTGCGGGTTTTACCCGGGGAATTACGAACGCGGGTACAGCAGATTTACGGGATTTCCCGCGGTGTGTCCTTACTGCTGCTCTGTTGGGTACTGCAAACGAAGGTTAA